CAGAATTTGGAAGGCGTTGTTATGACGTCGAAGATGCCTGGTTAACGTTGAAATAGCCCGCAAGAAATAATCTGCATATCTTTGCAGGCGTGAGGTCAGAGAACAGAGGGGTTCAGGTCTCAAGATGGGCAGGACTGTAAACTGCACCAAAAGATCTACAAGATGACTGCTTACGTTCATAGCCCCATGAAAACATGGAACACCACCTTCTGTAAGATTTATTTTTAGTAAATTTTTGGTCACGGATGCTGCCCATACATGAAAAAAGTACAAATGCCAAAACGACAAATTCATTCGTACCAAAAGCAAAAGGCATCTGTTACGAGCAACAGCTATAGTTATTATTGCAAGATAACATTTTAATTCAATTGACTATTTTTCCAATTTAGTCACACCATTGAGCATGGTAGAGGTCCTGGAGACGACTTTAAATACGGTTTAATGGCATCAATCCGACTTGTATCGTTTGATCGTCGATGCTTCGTTAAAGGGTGAAAATAAACTTGGCGTGGCACAGAAAGCTATACTGCATCCGTCACAATGTGGTATCTTGTACCTGTTTCGTTCAATCTTCCGTTTTTTGTTCAGGATATCATTCCGTTGCTTTGTACGTAAAACGTACGCACAAATGCCTCTAAAAAGCATGTGTTTCCTAAAAAAGAAAAACAGTGCCAAAAAAACACATCAGAAAAAAGCTACCGAGACGTAAGTCCTATCTGCCCGATTTTATCGGCTTGAATACCCGGAGCTGGCCAGATCCCTACACAGCCAGTTCTCTAGCAAGGCGATTGATGACCTAGTGCACCAACTCTGCAAAACTGCGCCAGAAAAACTCTGCCGAAACGTCGTGACTATTCTTATAGAACGTAGTAAGAAACCGTTTCATGGATGTAACGCCCTACTTCAATTCCAAACAGCATAGGTTTTAATAAGATCTTCATGATGCTGACAACTCTCGAATCCATTTTTATGTCATGCCGCACGAGGTGCGTTATTTGTTGATGCTTCACACGTGAGTGTGACTGTGCTGGTCGTCAGCTGCTCGCATATCTTTCCAAACACTTTTGAACGACAGGAAACGCTATTCCTGCAGTACTAAATTGAAATCGAACCTTACACCGGTCGCAGGAGGGTTCCCTCTGGCATCACCAATTTGCGGTACAGTGGGGCCCTGCTGCATCGGACTGAACAACGCACCCGCTCCAAAGAGTGTGCCCGCTGATACTGCTGGAACGCGGTGGCTGCTGGGCCCGGCGGCTGTGCCCAGCCGAGTGCGCGCGCTCACCTGCCATCGCCATCGGGTGGCACCAGGCCGATGTGTTTGCTCGGGTCTCAATAAGCTTTATTGGCGCGCGGCGGCTCATCTGTTGTTGCAAGCTAACTTGGCAGCGCTGCGGGCGGCCGGTCAGGCGGGTCCGGCGGGTACGGTTCCGGCCCCCGGGGCGGCCAGTGGCCGGGTCAGGCGGGCGCGGTCCCGGCACCAGAGGCGGCTGGTTGGGTCCGGCGGGCACGGTCCCGGCCCCCGGGGTGATGGACATCCCGTCACCGATCAAGCAGAGGCCGGTCTTGCTGTTGTTGCACCTGGCACCTCGGCAAGAAAGGTTAGTTACAGAGAATGCAAGTTTTGGGATTTTGCTTCGATTCTACATGCCGTGTCTGCCGAGGCTATAGCCTGCTAGTTTCCAACATCTCTCGGGGAGGCCCCGAGGCCCCACCATTGGGTGACGGTGAAAATCTCCCATAAGGACAAGCCTGTCATGGCCGGGTCTGTCCTGTCCTGTCCTGTCCTGTCCTGTCCTGTTCTGTTTTGTCTTGAACAGAACATATAAGTGTGCGCTGGCCAGGGCGGGCGGGTTTTGTGTTTAGCTGTTTTGTTTTTCATTCTGGCCGTTTTGTCCTCTGTCCTCCGCTTTCTGCCCTCTGTACTCAATCCTTGGATTTTTGCCCCCGCCCAAGTCTTCTGTTCTGCCGTGCCATCTGTCATGCACTACTTTGTGCTCTGCTGTTTCGTTTGTTCCATCATGTCCAGTCGCTTCCGGTATCTAGCTTTTGCGCCAGGAGAACGTCCTTGTCATGTCTCTGACGTCAGAGCATGTATCACGGTGGCCTTTACCTACAGTCGATTTTTCAGCGTTCTTCCTTGCATGATGAGTGAAAGCAACGCTTCATTAATTTGCATTTTAACTAAGAAAAGATGCCACATGGTCTCAAACACACACTAAGTGCAGTTATACTAGGTGGTTCGTTCGAAATTGATGTCCGAAATACGGAGCCCCTCACGTTCCGGCGCCAATAGTACGCTGTGTCTATGTCTAAGAATCAAATCGTCTAATTAAAAAATTCAAACAGTGGTTATCCGTGCAACTGCACCCAGGTATTGATGTGACATATATGACATGCCTGACGATGATACAGGCAGTGCAGATTATCTCAGAAATCATTGAAATCTTCAGTGACCTCAGATCAGCTAAAACCAATAGCTTCAAACCAATATCAGAGCAGGCATACGAGCAATATCTATCGTAGACCTGCGTAACTAGGTGAAACGAACGAACGCATTCTTGTCCGTTAAGATCTTACCATAAAATTAGAAGCTAAATTTTGTATTTTTATCATACTTTTTGAGCACTGGATTTTGAAGAGTCATGTCAGTTCAGGCTAAGGTCATGTCAGTTCAGGCTAAGGTCATGTCAGTTCAGGCTAAGATCATAGCAGTTCAGGCTAAGATCACCAGGCTAAGATTCGGGCTATTGCAATTGCTCCGCTTCGCCGGTTACGTGTCATGAATTTGGACGAGTATGTTTGATGTATTTAGTACTTCTATTTTCCGCCCTATATATCTCAAACGAATGTACCAAGGCGTTTTATCTGAACACGAATTTCGCCTCATATGACGCCTAATGGCAACCTAAGGCAGGGAGTTTCGTGTGATGTGAACGGCCCTGGCTGGAGGACAAGACGGACCATGGTCGAGAATCTTGTGTTTGTCACGACGGTACAAGCTGCAACATTTTGTTTCACCCAAAGGTTGTCAGGGTTCGCAAAGTGAGAAAAGGTGTGGGTTATCAAAACCTTTCCCATCGTATGTCATGGACGACGCTAAGCCATCCGTTTAGAAATATTTGATTTGGAGGTGTTCATAAATTTGGAGCTGTGAAATGACTTGCGGTGCAGACAGTGGAAGGAATTTCCCAGGTTCAACTAAAAGTGAACTCTAGTTTACCATGGCTTTGTTTGCCGAGCGTGCCGTTTTGTCAGGGCTCCCTGTTTTCAGTCTTAGAATTTCATATGCATTTGAATGTTTTTTTTTTCAGGTGCACGGGCTCCTCCGTTCGCGGGCTTCATCGTGGCCGGCTCTGTCGTCGTGCCTACAGATCCGGCGCGGTGTGGTAAATAACAGCGCCATGTCACTAGCTCTGACGTAGTTTCACCGTCTTCGGCGCGTCATCGTCACCTTCCTGGTATCATGATTAAGGGCTGCGTAAACCCTGCCATATCACTTCTTGACAAATCTTAAATTCTTACGGTCTGCAAATTCCAAAGTCTGGTTCGGGCAGCCCACACGCACAGCGGGACGAGATGTAGCAGGTGTCGCCCCGTTCGAAAAGCTAACTGATCTTAAACTGGGGCACACCACGGGGTATCCAGCGTTGATGCTCTGTAACCAAGCCACTGTGACGGCACTGGCTCCAATGCTGTGCATCAAAAACCGTCACAGAGCATCAGATGTGCTACGTAAACGCTCTCACTGATGCAAAAAGATCACATACGGGCGCAGAGGGTCAAATAATTTGCGCAGGGGACCCAGTTCCACTCAACGAGCCCCTGCTGGAAGCGGGGTAGAGGGCTCCCAGTTGTTACTGAGGCCTGCTGTGAGAATCGGAGCCCTTCAACTGTCTCGTTGACTCATCAGGCATCTTTTCAATGCTATCAACCTTCTGTCGTTCTAAGGGGGTCCGAACCAATGGAGAAGGCCTGTGGTGGGCTGTGATGGGTACCAAATGAGCCTCTGGCCGGCTCGAGCAGCACACAATTTCCCTTGATGTATGCACTGTGATCAGAGGACATCGTGTCCGAGAAGACAACCCCGACCAATGCGACTTGCGAGGTCCTCTAAATGGCATTCGCAGGCCCAGACCCCGCTGACGCTGACGCTGACGCTGACAACACCGCTGACGCCTGCTGTCTGTATAGATCAAGCGCCTAAGAAGGTTAAATTACGTGAGCATTTCTGTGCTGCTAGCCACTTAAGGCCCTCAATAATAAGAATACTTTTAGCAGCATGGTGTCAACTTCACCTTCTCTCCCTCTTTCTTTTCCATCTTGGACTTGGATTGTCTTGAGCAATAAATAAAAACCAGTGGAAAGGCGGCAACACCAAACAAAGCTGATATGGCCTTGGACAGAACTGCATGCGCCAGGCAGTTCTTTGGAGAGCTGACCACCGATAATTCGAACGAAATCCCTTCCTGAACGGATGATCCTCTCACGGGAATGGATTCCCGCCGGCGCACGATTCGAATCAGCGGAACGGCGCGTGAGTGTATACATTGACCGGATAGTTCGGATCAAGAACGGGTCCCGGCTCAATTCGAATTACAGCTGCCCATGTCAACAGGGTAATTATCTATGTTTTACCACGGGAAGATCCGTTAACCAACATTCTTCCCGCACTAACTTAAATTAAGGTTCGTCACTATGTTCCGACAATAACCTATATACGCATGAACGGAGATAAGACCTCAAATCGTCTTGCTGATTTCCGTCCCCTAAACTTTGTAATCAGGGTAAATTTCGTGATCTTAGCTTAGCCGGAAGTAACGTAAAGGGACATTTGGAATTGAGGATGAATCCACCGCATCGACTTTCCGAGCGAGAATAAATTCATCGCCGACGAAGATAAAATCACCACCGTTGTGTTAGTTCCCAAAATCGGACACCGGCATTCCCCACAAACACAACATTCACGTACAATATGGTTATCGCTAGCGGTTATTCTAAAACGAAATATTTTACGATCCCTGTCTCTCATGCACTTTAAGTGTGGAGTAATGTACCGTTTCTTGCGCAATCTATCTCCAAAAAATGAGTTGGAAGCTGGCCTATTGGTCAAGGAACAACTATTATTCTAATGTTGGCTGGAGATCGAATTAGGCGATCAGAGTTATATTTCTGGAATTTAATCACCATGTTACTGACATGACATTGTGTGACAAGACGTAAAGCACGAAAATACTCACCTTCTTTGTTGTGATAGATTTCGTATTCTGACATTAATAAGAGCTCTTGGAGGTATCTTTAACGTGTTTGATATGTTGTTTGAATATCATAAAGCGGGTCATTTAACACTTCTAGTCATGCTCTCTACGAAAGATAGCGTTTTGTATTGTCCTTTTGATCGAAACCATTTGCGTCATTCCATCTTGTAAGGGAGCCGAGTTATGAGCTTGATAATACCTTATCGTTTGATATCAAAATATACCATGCAGCTTTAACCATGCGTTGATTTCCACTTGCCGTAAACTATTTGCCACCAATTTTGTTGGGCTGCAGGAAGTCGGTTGTGAAAATTAATTGGCACGTCGACGTTTCAAGCTAGGTTGGGTCAAATTAGCAGTGTACCACAAACGGGCCAATTTTAGACATTCATGCGCGAACATGAACTCAGCAAAAATTGGACAAAATTGCTACATTACGGGAGGAAATTCCCTTTTTCGTTTTCTTTTCTATACTCTTGGAGGCTTTAAATGCTTTTAAAACCAACCAGTTGATTACAGAAACACGTGTTCAAAATGTTTCACCTGAAGTGCTTAACATTGAGATAAGTCTATGGGACTCATACGCATGATATTTTTTAGTCACTTTTTCAGGAAAATTAACTCTGACAGGATCATCTTCCTACCTTCAGTTCGACAGTACTGTGTGATCCGATTTAACGTTTTGGTGTGTTTCTCACATAACGTAGATATTGCTCGCACCTATTAGGTACGATGAGCCGCGAGTGGTTATCTTGTTTCAAAATCAAGGTAACCTACAAACAACATTTTAAGGAACTATACCAAAAAAGGCAAGCAATTTTAAAATTTGCTTTGCTTGCCACTCGTCGACACGCACTTGACGCACATTTGGACGCGCTGCTCAGCACTGTTTGCCAATTGCCGTTTCTTTCTCAACGTATTGATCGATAGGCTGACAGAGTTGGCCGTTGATAAAAGTGGGATAGTAAAGTTGTGTAAAAGTTTATCAAAAATTGTACAGTTATGACTTCAACTGGAAACAAAACCATCACACTTGTATGTACATTAGGATAGGTTACAGGTTGTTGTCGTCACTGTTGGTTTACGACTCACTTAGCTGCTGAGGCTATATGACATCATATGCCCCCTACCTTGGCAGGAAAGGCGGGCACCGCAGGGACTCGAACCCCGTACCTCTGGTTTCCCCAGAGGCACAGGGGTTCACCAGATGAGGGTGCCAGTGCACTTTCGGCACCCACAGATAGTTCATAAGTAATAAACAACTTGTACCGACTTTTACAGCCATGGTCAAAATGTTGTATTAACTCTAAAATTCAGCGAGCCATCTCAGAAAATTAGGTTTCCAAAAGCAAAGCCAATGTTAAGTTTATGCGACTACGACTGAAAGTGATTTTTTATCAGTGCGTCTCGGCAACATAGCAGTCGTTGGCTCTGACGTAGAACACAACCCAACGCACGAATCTGGTAACGTGATTTACGTAGGTCCGGAACTTTTCCTTAAAAAATTGAAAAGTGTTATTTAACTTTATAGCTTTGCTTGGTGGGCTCTCTATGAAAGGACACCATTACTTAACTTCTAATCTCTGGGATTTGTATTCCCCAACTCACTTGCAATCAAAGAAAAAACAACAGATACCGAATCAAATTGAACCACTACAAGCTGAGATGTAATGGAAACATGCCAAGATGCAGTGGTACGAATATAAACGCATAATTAGATTGTTCTCTCAAACGTTTGGTGCATAACTGCATTATGAACACCTCAGACGTGCTTATCTTCTCGCATGGTTGTTAAATATCACATAAAATATTTAGGGTAGCAAAATTATTCGATCTTCAAAGAACTAGTGCCCGCGTTTCCTCAGAATTTGTTGCGAATCGGTCTCCAATTTAGAAAAGAGTCGAATGTTGGGTCTCAGTGCTTCCAATCGACAGGAGCTGACCGGAAAACAAACAAAACTTTAACCTCAAAAAGATTCCTGGTGCATGCGGGCGGTCATGCTGTTCATAGCGTTTGGCCAACGCACAGGAACAGACGCGACCGTTTTGGGCGCGGCGGCCTGTGCAGCTTCCCCGCCTGGCGCAGCGAAGGATTGGGGAAGGCAGTCGTAAACAAGAAGGTTATCACCCACCCCATCTGATCTGGCGAGGGGCGTCAGATGCTTTAAAATGCCGCCGGACTAAATTCTACCAGGGCTGAGCCTGCAACCTTATCATGGGTCACCACCAATAATTACAATCGCCCAGGATGGTTCCTTAAAAGCAGATTACAGCCGCTCCGCTGTAGCTCTGGCATCCAGCGCTGGTTAACGTGAAAGCATATTATCGCTAGTGACACTTTTAGCGCGCATTATTCTACCCTTCTGCGATAGAAAGCTGCTGGCATTGCGGTTGCTTCCATGCATTCCTGACACGGGAGATTTTACACGACTAAGGCTTCTTCGGGCAGCCGGTTTGGTCAGGGTCTTGAACTGGCATGTGTGAAACGTGTTCTGCTAGCAATACGGCCCCGGGAACTGGAGCGAATTTGCTGGAAACATGACCTCGGCAAGGCATAATACGAGAGGATCGTTGACGTCATCGGCGGACCATGCGCGTGTTCACGTTGTTCTCGAGCCTAGTATTGATTTTATCAAATCAAAAGAATGGCTCGTAATTCTCGCCCTAATTCACCGTTTTCCTAACGCGGACTGATGGGCGAGGTATGCGAACTGCCTGCGTTTGCAATCAGAATTGGCAGAAAACACCATTGGTCTGTTCTCAATGGCATCTCGCAGCTGGTACTAGGTTTTAAGCTGTTGGTTTCACAGTTGAACCCATTATGACAGATCCAAGGTCGCGCTCTTTTGAGTGGACTGGGTTTGTGGAGTGTGCCTCATTGTACGGTGACGGAACGTAAAAAGAAGACAAAAACTGCGACGATGATCGCTGTAGCAAAAATCACATTTACACGTTCGGTTTTAACTATTTTCAAGACAAATCGAACCATGTGGGTACCGATTTTGACGGGCCAGGTCTCCATCAAAAACTGAGGGTCCGAACAGCCTCTGAGAGGGGCCAGACAACTTCGGTGGCGTCCTTGCGAAGACCCATGAGTGGTACAAACTTCCCCTTTTTTCTTAGACTTCATA